TGCAGTTTTTTAATACTGGTTTTCAAATTTCTAGAAATAAAGCCATATAAAGCTTTGACTAAAGAGGTGCAACTTATGGATCACGTGGAGATCATTCTAGAGGGAAATATGTATGATTGGTCTTTTCATGGTAGCAGTAATTCTTCCTCTTAACCAATTCTATGATACAATACCTAAACCAAATGTAATTAATCCTGGCGTTATCTGATTTGGCCATGCATATTAAGCATTTTAGAAGCAAATCATCTACTGATGGCTATTTTTTAAAATGTTGTTATATGTGTGTGTTTGATTTTGTTTTTATTCCAGATACACAAAAGCAAGAATCTACTTTGGGTGGAGGGACAACCAGGCATTGCTTTTATGGACTTCAGCCTGATTCACAATATAAAATCAGTGTTTACACCAAGCTTCAGGAGATCGAGGGGCCCAGTGTGAGCATAATGGAGAAAACACGTAAGTCAAGTGTCTTCTCTCTTGATCCCTGTCTCCATGAACAGCTTTTAGGCATCCTGTTTGGGTTCAAAAAACCTTATTCCACTTAGAAAAATATTAGCGATTGCCGCCCAGGAATATCTGTAATACAAGTTTTGCTCCTCTTATCCAGTCCCAGAATTCACTGCGTGTGGCCCAGTGATGTCATCTGTATGGGTTTTTCCATCCTCCAAATGCTTCACAAAGGACTATACGGCTGTATGATGGCAGAGTGCTTGAAACAATGACCTATATTGTGATCTATATTCATAAGGCATATTTGTGGTATGTGGAGAGTGAAATGAAGTTTAAGGACTGGGTCTTGACATTAAGACAATGGCATACTACCACAGCCATGAAGGTGGGCATGGAGCCAACATGTTCCAACTGGCTGACCCTAGAGTTAATGCCCACTTAAGAGGCTCTTGTGCCTGTTTTTCAAGTTGGCTGCAGATCTAATGCACTGAAGGGAAAGGCAATGTATAAAATGAAAACAAAGCACTTTTTACATGTTCTGAAGAGCAAGGAGGGTGTCAACTTCTTGGAATGGCTTTTAATCGAGGAGTTCTGACCTCGAGGCCACAAACATTAAAATGGTTTGAGTTGTGGTGAATGCTGGGGGACATTTGTGTGCTTAACTCAGAATCTTGAACTTAAACTGGAAATCTTTGGGGGTTTGTGTCTGAATAGGTAGTGGGCCATGGGCTTTCTTGGAAGCTCTTCTATTATCTATTAGGTGTTTAGAAAGATCCACTGCTTCTGTCTCAGTTTTTTTAGTGGATCCGGCACATATAGAAAGAAATCGTTGTCAGTGTGTGACTTTCAAAAACAGAAAGTTAAAATATAATAAATTGAATCATCTAATTTTTTAATATACTTTATTGCATAACACTGAAATAGTCAACATTTTATATTGCATATTTATTTTTGAGCTATGTTACATACCATAAAATTCACCCACTATGAGTGT